TTTTATACAACTCTGTTCCATCACGGATTAATACAACACTGGAAGCACTTGTTGGAGATGGCATTGCTGCAGTATGTCTTACACCTATTTCGCCAGACGGACATATTATGTATCCAACACACGATGTGAGCACATTACAGTCGTCAAAACATATTGATCTGGATAATTTTTTGGCCTCGGTTCCTGATACAGAGGAGCTTGCCATGTGTTGGCTTGGATTTAAAATCGTGGTACAGATATGGACACAAGGTTCAATTAATGTTCAAGCACTAATGGATAAAATCGGCAAACAGTTTACAACCACATCGAATGATTACGCGATTGAAAGTTATTTTAGAAGCACAGACTGGGCACAACTACCACCGCACGAGAGCGTGTCATTACAATCTTCAGGGATCCGCTCTTCATCCGTATCTGTGGCAAATACTTCTATTTCCACCAGTGCATGTTCAGCCCATCCAGGTGTAGCACCAATCAAAACTGATAATACCATACCAGTGCCTATAACTGCACCTGTATCAAATTTCAGCACGTCAATGATAGATATGACAACTCCAGCCAAGATAATTATTACTTCACCCACTACCTCGTCTTCCATACCGTGTACTGCATTCTCATCTGTAGCTGTCGGAAATTCAAATCTATCTACAAGTATATATCATAATGTAGACTTACTAAAACCATCTCCGGACTCGATTAATATTGTACATTACAATACACCATTAGTGGTTCTTCCAAAAATGTTGCACACGGCTACTTTAGCAGGCAATCCTGTTGTTCAGGCATTCAAGGTGCTGACAAAACTGCCGTTAAATACTGTTGCTACAGGCATGTTGGATGTGCTTCAGGAAGAAGGACTTCAGCTGTATTTGTTTTCTCGAAATAGTTCAGGCGGTGACCTCATGTATATCACATCAACACTTCCACACGAAAATTTCCTAGACATATTTGAGCAATCCTATGTCCAAACGCCTTTGTTTTCTTCAGTCGAGGTGAATACTCATTCGCAAGGTGGAGAGCCTGGTGAAAAGCCAAAAAATACAGAACATACTCAAGAATATATTATTGTCGCTGCAGTCAATTTTGCATGCGATAATTTATCCACACCCAACACGATTCCCATTCCTTGTTCTACTGGGTCAACATCCTCTGCTTTTCAAGACAAAGATCGCGATAGTCTTGGTAGTTTTTCTGGGTTAAACCACACTCATCAGAGCTTTAATGGAGACGATGCTGGGTCTGTTTCAAGCTCTACATCAGAGTCACTTTTGTCTACAAATCGTGCATCGCGACTTTTAAACGAGCTAGACGAGGTGTGCATGTTTGGTGACAGCTTTTTGCCTTATTTCCCTATTTATGGGAAACGCTGTTCATTTATTGTTGTTACCATGGCTACAGAGTCTGTCAATGTTTTCTCTTACAATTGGAAAAAGATTGAAAGTGAGCGAGTGTTTTTACGGACGCTCAAGCTACTTAATTTGTGCAAGATTCGATATCAGTTTCAAACACGCAAGCTGAAATATATGGGGTTACATATTGAACAGGATCGAGCGCGCATTACCGAGTTTGGAGAAAAGCGGTATAGCACTGCCGAGGCTTCTGCTAGAGTACATGAGAATTCTGCACTTTCAAGACCAGAGCGTCGGTTTAGACTACTTGACTTTATTTACCATATTGGTAGCTTTGATGCCGACGATCTTCAGAGACAGATTGTTGATTTTCTTGAACTGTTTTTTAGATATGGCAAGTATCCATTATCGCATGGTAGTGGTCAGCTTGGCCAAGGCGTTTCGATGGAATATTCTTCCAATGGATCAAACTCTTTTGTATCACTACTGCGCGGAACCGGATCTATACAGCATCAGTATGCCAAAAACCACGGGCATTTGAATCTGCATGGTACTGTAAGAATTCGTTCAAACGGCAATCTTTATCAACAAGAGTCCGATAGCAATGGCAGCGGAAACGCTTTATCATTGACAGAAATGTCTGAAGTTTTACGCACAATTCAGTTGATTCACAGTGCATCTGCGCCAATATTTTTTTCAGAGTATCGCTCCGAGCTAATGAAAAAATGGGATGAGATTCAATGTGCAACACGGTTAGACGACCCAAACATTCTTAAAATCATTGATCCAAAACATATATCCACGCGCATCAACATTGAGGGCCAGAGTCTTGAAACTGTTGGATGGTACAAGACCATGATTAATGATCTTTTGATGGACTACGTTTCTTATTTAGAAGTGCTCGGTATGGAAAGAGTTTCACCAGATCTTGCGACCAGCATCGAATTGTCACAACATGGTGGAAAGTTTAGTGTTGCTCCTAATTTCAGTATTGATGCACCTTCAATGTTCTTGACGCAGTTTTTTTCTTTGGGTGTTATTATTGTTCAATGTGATTTCTTTATGTATTTTGCAACCATCAATGTTCTTTCTTTCAAGTACCAAACGGATTCGCCACAACATTCTTTTGAAACCGACGAGTCTGCGTTTGAAAAGCAGTGTAACAAATTAAAAACTCAGTCGCATATTGTTTCATGTAAGCTTTGGATTTAAATGCCTTTATTATGTTTACACGGTTTAGTTTTGATTTTGATGGCTCTAAATTTTCACGTTTTTAGTTTCGTACGACTTTCATTTACGATACTTTCAGGAGAAACTATTTACACATTTCAAAACCTTGCCATTTGATCTTCTTTCGGTTTTACGAAGTTTTGTCATTCTCAATCCTCGCAAACCCAGATACTCCCGCAATAGAATTGTGAGCAAAAAAATCAAACTTTCTGAAGACGATTCATCTGCGCTATTGTTCAAATACATTCTCAAGAACCCACAAACATATAATTTCCACCCTCTTATGTACAACGATGTGACGACTGCGTGCTGGCTCACCACGTCAGACGCATCTTTCAATATTCCTGGCATGCTACCAGTTGTTGTTCCGCCAGATCTTGTTTCGTTTGGCGATAAACAATTGTATACTATAATTATTTGTCCTGCACCTGCTTCGACTTTATCTCAAAGCAACGCGAGTGCGGTTTCAGACGATGGTCTTGCTTCGACAAGCAGCCCTATTAGCATTGATATTAAAAACAGCATGTCTTCTGCCAGCCCATCTACTAAAAGTGCTCTAGAACCTTGCACCTCATCGGCCAGCGACACAATACTTTCCACCACACACTTTGAGATTGAATACTTTTTGCTAATTGTCAACAACGTGTCGAAATTTCCACTGTTTGAAATTGACAAGAGCAATATCATGGAGCAGGCTATTGTCGAAGATCCGATGCGCGAGTATATTGCTGATGGGTACTACCTGCATGACATTGCTAAAAATACTGAGAAACGTATTGAAATTCTAGTTGATAAAGTGAGTTTTCTAGCATATTTAATGTGATGGACTGCTTTTTATCTTGCATCGATGTGTCCTGTTGGGTTGTATATTGAATACGATATACTAACTTTTACATATGCTGGTATTCTTGTGGCACTAAAAGGCATCTAAATACTTTGGTCGAGACTCACTTTGGACACAGCTGCTTTCTGCCAAGTCATGTTCGAATACTCCTACTCCCGATTCTGGTAGCATGGTAGATGTTCGAGAAACCCAGACTCCGGAATGGACACGACTTTTTCTTGAAAAAACTGCCATCAACTCGCGTAATCTATCAACTATTGATCTAAATATCAAGCATCTCTTGGAAGACCCCCGACTTCAATGGGCCGGTATAGTTGACCACTTGTCCGCCACATATGCCAAACAAGTCCGGATGCTTCCTGCATGTTCGGCCCATGGTCCTCAGCATATACTGATTATTAACCCATACGATTCAGACTATATGATTCGTTTTGCCGTTGGGCTGTCTGCGAACCATACAACTTCTATTGAAATATTCTCGCTTTCTCGTGAAGGGGCATCTAACACTGCGGAATATACGCACATCAATGATGTGTTTAATACAATATTATTTTACCTTTGGAGCAGCTCAAGTTCCACTTGATTACCAATATTGTATAACCAATCATAAATAAAAGAAATTGTCCATATTCTTGGTAAAGTTTATTTGCATTGTCTATCTACATAGGGGTTCAAACTTTGATCATACTGTAACATCAACTGATGGGCAGTGTTGGAACCCTGTCAATATTTATGGCCCTAGTGTCCATAAAAAGCGACTCTGCATATGCAATTCCAAGCGTTTGATAAAACCATTTATTGCCAAAATTCAAACATGGCCATCACAATAAGTGAATACACAAACCAAACCACGTATGAGTGCGTTTCGAGTACTGGCGCATGACGTAATAACATTTACAAAGCCTGATTGTATTTGGCTAATTTTAGTGAGCCACTGAATCATAATGTATTAGCTGGCAATGCTTTTACTGTCATTCTACTCACATGTTCTCGCGCCTGGTTATTGTATATTGGCTATGCAAATGAGCCAAATGATGCAACACTTTTGTGTGCGCCACGTTAGAACAGACATGTGTTGACGCAATGACTTGAAGCAGCGACTCTGCAAAGCAAAAGTACACGAAACATCAACTGGCAACAGTCTAATGTTGCTTGATTACTGAAACTTTGCCAACTGCATGCGCTACAGCAAACTCCGTCTAAAGTTTCATCGTATCACTGCGGCCAATCTAACATGGTCATCTATAAATATCAGGATGTTTTCTCAACAATAGATATCGATTTGTTCACTCGGATCCATCGATTAATCTGTACTTTGCAACATATCTATCAAGCGTGCTTCTTGTTCATTACTTTTATCAATACCATTTAAATCCAAAATGCTTTCTCTGCTAGTATTCTCTCTTGGAGTTTCGATTCCACTTTCAGTTTTTGCTGGTACTCCCAATCAAGCAGATTATCCACCCATGGATAAGCTTGCTCCTGCCAACGCTGCTTGGGGTTCCAATGTTTTATCAAATGTGCCATCAATTCCTGTCGGTACTGTTCCATTGACTGTGACGGACTGGTCCAAAGATGTTACTACGTGTCCTCAACAAAATCAATGGGGACTGACATATGACGATGGACCTGGGTATGTATATCAATTTCAAGTATCGTGCCAAGTAGCATGACTAACGTGTTACTGATTTGTTACTGATTTGTTATTTACATTAGCCCATTGACTGACGATCTTCTTGGCGAACTTGCCAAGCGAAAGACAACAGCAACGTTTTTTGTTATTGGATCTCGTGTGCTGGAACGACCAGATGTTTTATTAAGAACATACCAAGCAGGACACCATATCGGCATTCATACATGGAGTCATCCATATCTGTCGACTGTATCAAATGAGCAAATCATTGCTGAAATCACTTATACTATCATGGCAGTCAAGACCGTGATTGGAGTTACGCCTGCGTTTGTGCGTCCTCCCTATGGTGATATTGATGATCGTGTACGTACAGTACTAACCAACTTGGGACTCACGATTGTCGAGTGGAATGTGGATCCACAAGATACTGCAGCACGCGGAGATGTTGCACAACAGTTTGCTACTAAAGCTAATGCTGGTAGTGCAGGTGTCATTTCACTTGAACACGACAT